TATTTATATTTTCTATTTTATCTGTTTTCCTCATTTTATCTGATAAACATATATACATATATGTTTTGATCATAGAATAGTCCATTTTAGAAGAAACTTTTATTAACAGTATCTGAAACATCAAACTTGCAAGCAATCTAAAAATTCAGCCATTTACAATTGTGCCTTCATTGAATATTTAATGACAGGTAAAATACTAATGATGCATTGTGGAAGTGCTGTTACAATATAATACCCAATGTATCATGTAAATTAACTGCATTATAACTGTTTAGAGTTAAAATTTATTTATTTATTTCTAGGCTTTCTTTTCCATTAATATCCAAATTATCTCCCATTTAAGATAGACTTTCTTGAAAGTTTAATATCTATGATAATGATAGAGAAATACTTCGATTCAGGATGAATCAGAATGGGCCCAGGACACAGTCTGCAGACTTTTCATTGCTTTCGATATCTTTGTGTGTTTAACAGGACTGCGTTTCCTCAGCTTTCTCTACTGCTGAGCATAGCATGTGGGAAGTCAAGAAAAGTGACTGGCTTCTTTGTGAAAGCTCTTGTCTACTCCTAGCTGCCAATTCCTGCCAGCAATTTAAACTTTAAATGAGAGGATTTTGAAATCCAGCATGATTAGACACGTCATTTTCTTCAGAACTGATGCACTGTATCTTGGGACTAAAATCTATGGAAATAACATTATTGAATACTAGGTTTGAGACTATTTTTTGAATGATTATAACCTTTGAAATAAGTCTTTCTCCCCCATTAAGATAAACAGCACACTTTTCATGGTCTTCAGTGAAAAGCACTGGCTTGAAAGAACTGAGGCTATCTGAAAGATGCCACATGTAACACTGAATGGCAGGCATTCAAGAATGGCCGACAGCCAATAAATCATTCAGAGCTGTGTGTATTTGGTGTGCATTAAAAAATTTGCCCCATCTCTCTTTACAGAGAACATTTCAATGTCAAGTATTTTGTTGTATTTGAAATTACACATCAACCTGAATATTGGGATATGCAATGAAACTAATTGATTTGACACTGCTCTGTTGGAACTTAACTAGGAACTTACAGCAATGTGTACTGCACGATAGATTTGATTCACAAATCAGTCAAGTTGTCAGTATCAAAGGTCTGTTTCAGTAATCATTTAAGTATAAAGAGACTTATGAAATTATATAAATAGAAGTACTTCTTTTTGATATTCCTGGACTTTCTGATATCTTGGTATTGGGCATGTTGAAATAAGCATTTAAAATTAAACATCAAAAAGCAAAAAAAAAAAAAAAGACTTTGCAAGAGCTAGAAGGCAAATATATCGAAGTGGACACATATTCCATTTCAAGGCAGCCATTCTCCCTGGATATTGAGTGTAATATTATATGACAACCTTTAACTGTCAGCTTCTTCAGGGATTGTCTCAGCTGCAAGAGCTGTCAGCAACAAACTTAGCTCTTTCTAGAGCAACTGACATACAAATACTGATGGAGACAGAGGCTTAAAAGCCTGACCATTTTAACCCCACCTGGAGTGATTCTTGCTGGATTTTCATGCCCAAATTTGGCTGAGAAGATACATTTTTCTTATTCTTTTCCAGGTAGAAATTAAATAATAAAGAATATTATTTAAAGTCATTTATATTACAGAATTTGTCTCCTGAAATGGAAGTAAAAAAAAAAAAAAAAACTAGAATGGTTCTGGGTTTTATATTTAATTAAGTCTTCACATTTTTCTCATCACCACAGTGTGTATCTTTGGAAACTACCTGTTCATGTATTGCTTATATTGATGACTTCATAGCACGTAGAGGCAGGAGAGAGGATAATAAAATTGGGTGCTGTATATGTCTCCTGATCTGTATTATAATTTATAATATTGATTTTCTACTATTTATTCCTCAAGTAAAATGTTGTAGTAGACACAGGATACAAGGGAGGGTATTTAGTATCCAATGAGACAAGAGGTGACTTCATTTTGAATTTCCATTTAGATTTTATGGTCTAATTTTAAAAACTGCATATGTATCTACATATATAGACAATCAACAGTACAATTATCATTATCAATGAGTATTAGCAGAACTAAAACATAAAAAGAAATGGACAAGGATTATCAGCATTATGCAAATGCATATTCTCTTTAAGAATTCCAGTTAGAGTGAATATATTAAAACAACACACACAGAGCCCATATATTCTGTGATCATTTCAAAAAGTACTAAAAATATTTCTGTGGGCAAACCATTTTTATAATGATCTTGTGTAATGAAAGTATTTAAAATAGTGCAGTATGAAATTATATTGGGAGCACAATTATTATACAACACATGAAATAAAATGTAATTATGGAATTTTTTGGGGGGGGTAATTTTTTTTTAACTTTTATTTAATGAATGTAAATTTCCAAAGTACGATTTATGGATTACAATGGCTTCCCCCACATACCGTCCCTCCCACCCACTACCCTCCCCTTTCCCATTCCCTCTCCCCTTCCATTCACATCAAGATTCATTTTCAATTATCTTAATATACAGAAGATCAGCTTAGTATACATTAAGTAAGGATTTCAACAGTTTGCTCTCACACAGAAACATAAAGTGAAAAATAATAGATGATTTTTTTAAGTGATGATGAAATCAGATCAGACTTATTGTCATGTTTAATCCCAGTGAGAGTCAAGTTGGGAGTTGATAATTTATTTATTTATTTATTTTTTTTTTACAGAGGATCAGTTTAGTATACATTAAGTAAAGATTTCAACAGTTTGCACCCCCATGAAAACACAAAGTGAAATATATTGTTTGAGTACTCGTTATAGCATTAAATCTCAATACACAGCACATTAAGGACAGAGATCCTACATGAGGAGTAAGTGCACAGTGACTCCTGTTGTTGACTTTACCAATTGACACTCCTGTCTATGGCATCAGTAGTCTCCCTATGCTCCGGTCATGAGTTTCCAAGGCTATGGAAGCTCTCTGAGTTCTCCGATTCTTATCTTGTTTAGACAAGGTCATAGTCAAAGTGGAGGTTCTCTCCTCCTTTCAGAGAAAGGTACCTCCTTCTTTGAAGACCTGTTCTTTCCACTAGGCTCTCACTCGCAGAGATCTTTTGCCAGAGTGTCTTGGCTTTCCATGCCTGAAATACTCTCATGGGCTTTTCAGCCAGATCCGAATGCCTTTAGGGCTGATTCTGAGGCCAGAGTGCTATTTAGGACATCTGCCATTCTATGAGTCTGCTGAGTATCTCACTTCCCATGTTGGATCACTCTCCCCTTTATTTATTCCATCGGTTAGTGTTAGCAGGTACTAGACTTGTTTATGTGCTCCCTTTGACTCTTAGTCCTTTCATTATGATCAATTGTGAACTGAAATTGATCACTTGGAATAGTGAAATGGCATTGGTACATGCCACCTTGATGGGATTGAATTGGAATCCCCTGGTATGTTTTTAACTCTACCATTTGGGGCAAGTCAGCTTGAGCATGTCCCAAATTATACATCTCTTCCCTCTCTTATTCCCACTCTTATGTTTAACAGGGATCACATTTCAGTTAATTTTTAACACTTAAGAATAACTGTGTATTAATTACAGAGTTAAACCAGTCATATTAAGTAGAACAGACAAAAAAACTACTAAGAGGGATAATGTATTAAGTTGTTCATTAACAGTCAGGGCTATGCTGATCAAGTCACCGTTTCCCATAGTGTCCGTTTTTTAAAAACATGAATTTTAGTGGCCATCCTTGATCCTGAATTATAGTACCTTTTTTTTAAGGGTAAATGTAATATATTAATTCTTTCTTAACTCAGAAAATATAGAATCTAGGTAGAAGGAATATGAATGTCATGTAACATGTGATATTATTATCCCATATGAGGAAACTTCAAAAGTTTCATGGAAAATGGAATTAACTGAGACAAGCTGAAGATCCATTTCCCTTCTCAACAGACACTCCATCAATTGAAAGACACTTTTGTAAGCAACGATACCTGTCATTTAGTCTACGCATGAACTGAGCATTCTAGGAACTCGGTCACATCCAGGCAGTCTTTTTTACATTATGGTCTGAAGGAAAATGAGTGAGCTTAAAATATTTGTTAAGATAAGCCAGGTGCTTCTCCTGGTCTCCCATGTGGTGCAGGACCCAAGCACTTGGGCCATCCTCCACTGCACTCCTTGGCCACAGCAGAGAGCTGGCCTGGAAGAGGGGCAACCGGGATAGAATCCGGTGCCCCGACTGGGACTAGAACCTGGTGTGCCGGCGCCACAAGGCGGAGGATTAGCCTAGTGAGCCGTGGCGCCGGCCTGATATGGGCTCTTTTGAAATAGTTGGTTTATGCTTTTTGGCACCTCAAACTAAATCCTGTTAAAGCATGTTATTGCAAGTTAATATGAGTTTATTTTATTGAAAAATTGCTTTGGAATCAGTTCACAGTAATGTCATAGCATACAGTTCCCGTGAACTTTATGAGGACCCCCTGTTTCCACTGCTGTAAGTTCAAGAATGAACTGCACAAAACGGATTGTAAAAGTCTGTCTTTCCAGAATGCTTTCCCAAGAATAACACTATGGACTCTATCTTTCACTTGTTTACTGTGTAGAGGGAGGTGTTGTCTATTAGACTGATGAGTTTTCTGGAAGGAATCTAGATCAATATTCCTCAACTACTTACTTTATCTTCTCGTAGAGAGAAGTCCACAAATGCAGTAAAGTTAAGAACTGGCTGCTATTCAGTGATAGAGTTTTGAAGAATCCTGAGTAAGCTTATATCAGGTTATCAGCAGGAGTAGCTTCCCAAGACCAGTTTTGGATAGCTTTTCAAATAATAATTATAGCGTTCACATTTTCATCTCTAACTGCTTACTCACTATTTCTATAATTTTATTGACTTTAGCATTAATGGGAAGGTAAGTTTCTATGTATTATTGAACTATAAAACATTTATTATTAATAATATAACATATATTATTATGTCTGCATGTCCTTATAATAATATATAACTGTACTGTTTCTGTTTTATTTATTACTTGTTTTTCTTTATACTTACATCTGTCATACTTCTAGACTGAGTCTTGTTAATAAAAATGTAAATTTCTGTTTTCTAATCATACATCTGTAGAGAAAGTAAATACTCCAAAATGGAATGTTGTAATCATATTGTGTGTAATTATTTAAAAATTCAGTCTTTTTTAGATTAATTAGTCTGCTAGTATCACAAAGTATCCACTAACAAATCATATCTTATTCCTTCATTGAAACTTTCAAATCTTTCTCCTTTTGCCTGTTAATATTCCATGGGCTTATCATATTGCTTAAAGATTTAATTCTATGATTTATTGCATATGCCTTCAGAGATGGCTATTAATCTTTCGTTGTTCATGGTCCCATTCGTAGTGAAAGAATCTCAATTTTAGCTAAGAACATCACCGTATTTCCTTTTATGTCTTGATTTTTGTTGCAAATTTGTTAAGATAAGCTCTGTGCAAATTCTTGTGTGCCTCTTTAAATACAGTTGAATAAGCAGGGAGATACAATTTGTAAAAATTCTGCCACTTTTTTTATGGTAACCTACAATACAAACATGAGGAATAGATTTGAAAAGTTACCTTGAAAATAAAAGTAATATATAGAAGTTAGTGAAAAGGAGATATAGTATATTTGATTCCTGATGAAAATGTGAAATCTACATACTGATAATAGATGGGCAATTTGTAGAATTCTTGTAAGTAAATGAAGGAGAATCCTTCCTTTTTAAGCTGTTATAGTTAAATCTTTGTTTCCAATTTATAAATATTTCTAGAAAAGACATATCTTAATAATTCGTTTATCAGTTTAATATTCATAATTTAATGGAATACCTCATTCAAAAGTTGCATCTATAGATAGAAATAATTATGAAATATATGCTGTAGTCAGATACTAGATATGCATGAAACCATTTAATTATATTTTCCAATATTGTTATTTACATGTAAACAAAAACTACAATGAGTTTTTTATGTAAAATGAATAAAGCCTTTGAACATTAATTGATATAATATAAATAATATTTTATGCTAATTTTAATTATCTGAACAGTTTTGTGAGTATATTTTACAGGTAATACCATATTCCTTTTCAACAACACACAAAATTATTTATCATTTCAGGTAATTTTTGGATAAGCAGGTCTGTTTATTATGTACATTACTGATTAGATGATATTTTTAGTTTGAATATTGAATTATAATCCTCTATTCAATGCATATACATACCTATAGCTATTTTTGGATATATACTGCTGAAATATTGGGCAACTTAGTAACAGCTTTTCTAAAGCTATTCTTCATTATAGTTATTAAAAGTGAAAAGAATGACCTATTGTACATGCTCTGTTAAGAACCTGTTTTTTGGTATGTTGAATATATGTATACAGTGGAGACAATGTGGATCTATCACAGAGTTTCTTGGTTGAGTTATACTTAAGCAGTACTGGTCAAAGAAAAAAAAATATCAGGACAAATGCATAAGTTAGATACCAAGAAATAAGGAATTCTCAAATGACCGTAGCATTTTGATGTATTGCCATTTCATAAATTGGAATAGCAATATGACCAGTATAAATGCAGATGAATACTGAAATGACCTGCTACTAACAGCAGGATATTTTGCTGTGTTCTCTTTGACAAAAGAGTACTAATAGATATCCCATCTGGTACACAACAAAAGAAGTAAGAAACATACTTTCCTAAGTCATACAGAAGAATGTAGAGCTGCTTAGGTTATATTGATGGTGGTAAGAGGTTAATACCACCCTCAATGTGTTTGCACACTGCAACATTTCAGGACTTTCTTAGTTAATATTATAGTTTTATGGATAACATTTCTCCTGTTACAGTTGGAGAGTGAGAAGACATAGTGTAAATGATGGAAAAGAGAGAATCAGTAGGGATGTCAAAGTGATGGACAAGCTTGCTGGACTTTTGAACTTGACCATATCACAAAAGCATGCTCCAGTTTAAAGTCATGAGAGAATCAGAACTCAAATGATGACACGTTTACTTTTGTGTTAATTTTCAGCCAAATCAGTACTTTGGCTATACAAAGGCGTGTGGAAAATGGACCACAGACCTGAGTGGATTCAGCAAACCTGTCTCAATAGCTATGCAGATTGATGAAGTCACCAGTTCCATGGAGGTCAAACCTCCACGACTGTGCCCTTTTATTCAGTTGGACAGGGAAGTAGAAAGCAGAACGACATCAACGTTCAAGTGGCTGCTCTATTGAGGTAGAAGAGATTTCATGCTATGCCACAACTAAATTTTCTAAACTGTGTTTCTTTTGATCTTATCTTTGGAGTTTAGAAAGATTTTAATAATTACTGGCTGGCTGGGGCCATCACTGTTTCGTAACCGGTAAAGCCGCTGCCTACAGAGCTGGCATCCCGTATGGGTGCCCATTCAAGCCCTGGCTGCCCCACTTCCAATATAACTCTCTGCTATGGCCTGGGGAAGCAGAAGAAGATGGCCTGAGTCCTTGGACCCCTGTACCCTTGTGGAAGATCTGGATGAAGCTGCTGTCTCCTGGCTTCGGCTCGGCACAGCTCTGGCCATTGCTGCCAACTGGGGAGTGTACCAGCAGATGGAAGACCTCTCTCTCTCTCTCTCTCTGCTACTCCTTCTCTCTCTGTGTAACTCTGTCTTTTGAATAAATAAATAAATCTTTAAAAAATATAAATAAAATAAATAATTACCGGCTGGTACTTATACCGGACATACGGTGGTATACATAGTCATCAGAACTTATCAGAAAGTGTGCTAAAATTTAAGGTGGGGTAAAGTTGAAGGTGGAGTCATTGGAAATAAATGCCGTGCACCATGATATCTTGATGATCCTCATTCCAAACAATCCCTCATTGTGGTCAAATTGTAATCTAAACTCTGCTTTTAATTAACTGTTTTTTTTTTTTTTTTCTGTCATTCATTTTTGATTAGATGTCTTACCAGAGACACATGGGGAAGTCAAAGAATCATTTCTTACAAAACTGTGTATGACTGTGACAATTATTGTCTGTTCTGTTTATTGACTGCTGCTACACTCTAAAGGTATTTGATCTGTAGCAAATTACATAATTTTACACAATAATTTGCCTGCCAGGATTTCTCTAAGAGGTGTCAAATATCAGTAGGTATAAGCCTGTTAACTTTTATTGTGAAGATAATGTTTCTGAAGTTTTAATGCACTGAAAATTGTTCATAATTCTAAAGTCTTTTTGAATAAAATATTTAAGGATGATGGTTTTAAAGGAGATAGCCTTTGACAAAAAAAAAAAAAAAAAGTGATGTGGGACTTCATATTATATTCACTTACAAATGACATTTCTATTAAAAAAGATCCAAGCGGGGTTTACCATACCAGCTGGGAATTATTTGATGCCTTATTGTATATAATTGTTTTCAACAGTATTAGATATCTTTTTTTTTTTTTTTTTTTTTTTTTGACAGGCAGAGTGGACAGTGAGAGAGAGAGACAGAGAGAAAGGTCTTCCTTTGCCGTTGGTTCACCCTCCAATGGCCGCCGCCGCCACCGGCGCGCTGCGGCCGGCGCACCGCGCTGATCCGATGGCAGGAGCCAGGAGCCAGGTGCTTTTCCTGGTCTCCCATGGGGTGCAGGGCCCAAGCACCTGGGCCATCCTCCACTGCACTCCCTGGCCACAGCAGAGAGCTGGCCCTGGAAGAGGGGCAACCGGGACAGAATCCGGCACCCCGACCGGGACTAGAACCCGGTGTGCCGGCGCCGCAAGGCGGAGGATTAGCCTAGTGAGCCGCGGCGCCGGCCTGTTTTCAACAGTATTAGAAAATATGGTACCTGCCACTGGCACTGTGGCATAGATTAAACCTCCGCCTGCACTGCCGGCATCCCTTATGGGCGCCAGTTCCAGTCCAGGCGGCTCCACTTCCTATGCAGCTCCCTGCTAATGTGCCTGGGAAAGCAGCAGCAGATGGCCTAAGTCCTTGGGCTCTAGCACCCACGTGGGAAACCCAAAAAGAAGCTCTCGCTCCTGGCTTTCGCCTGGCCCAGTTTTGCTGTTGTGGCCATTTTGGGAGTGAACCAGTAGATGGAAGTTTTTACCAACTGTATGCTTGTCACTATGTACATTGTTTTTGTTTTTGTTTGTTTGTTTGTTTGTTTTGACAGGCAGAGTGGACAGTGAGAGAGAGACAGAGAGAAAGGTCTTCCTTTGCCATTGGTTCACCCTCCAATGGCCGCTGCGGCTGGCGCACTGCGGCTGGCGCACCGCGCTGATCCGAAGCCAGGAGCCAGGTGCCTCTCCTGGTCTCCCTTGGGGTGCAGGGCCCAAGCATTTGGGCCATCCTCCACTGCACTCCTGGGCCACAGAAGACTATGTACATGTTTTAAATATATTATTTTATTTTTCCTGTGCTCCGCATTATCTTTATATGATCATTTTCCTTATTCACTTTTTTTTAATATCTAAGAATAAGATTTCTTTAAAAAAATCTATTAAGTTGGGTATGGCCTTGAGAAATTGACAGTAAAAAACCTGATCACATATAAATCCTGTTTGAAAGCATGTGTTTTTATACCGCACCAGACAAAAGTCAGGTGGCATACTAGACAGATGGATACAAGAATTTCAAAAAAGAGTATGTAAATTACAATTATAACTAAATTATACAACAAATATATCCAGTGGAAGTCTTTTGATTTTTTCTTCTTAACTATATTAAGCATATAGTTCTCCTGTGTAATGAATGACACAAATTACCCATAAAATGTTCAGGGTGCTTATGCATTTTTTAAGAGGAAATTTTGTATTGATTTCCTTCTAAATCAAATGCTGTAATTATTCCTATGAGTAAAAAATTTAATAATGTCTCATGTAAATTCTTCTGAGAAAAATGTATGAAGATAAAAGTAGAACTTTCTATGAAGATTTATATTTTTCTCTGGTTTTATGTCATCTCATGGTTCTACCGTGGCACTTGTCTGTAAAGCCACTCCTTTCCAGGTGGAAGTTTTGGAATGGAGTGGAATGTCGAATGCTATGTTTGAGTTTCCTCACTTCTCCCTGTCTTTTCCCCTTGAATGAGAACACTCATCTGCTTTAATGACAGCAGTTTAGTTTTGAAAGCTTTGGCTCAGATTTTATTTTATATATATCCATCTTTGGCAATAAATTGAAAAGAGATTTTAGCTTTTTTCTTTTCAGGGCTCTTAGCACAATCCATTTTATTTTTGTGTATGAAATAATGATGAAATTTCCCAAATGCAAATAAAGATAATATGATTAAAATAGATTTTAGGCTTGAATAATTTATCCTTTTATGTAACAGGTAGCAAAACAAATCAGTATGGAAAATATTTGGCAACATTAATTAAATGCAATCCTCTGATACCTAAGATAATTAACTAGGTTATACCATCACACAGTCAATGCAACTCCATTAATTCTTCTCTGTAGATTTAATGAATCATAGAAAAAAATGCATTTACTGGAATTGAGTACATGTTTAGGACAGAGAGCTGCTTATGTAGGAAAGATATTTATTTCCACTATTGTATCA